CCATCTGATGTGCTCAATAGATGTCACTTCTCGGAAAATTGGTGCAAAATATCAGTGCCAATGGAAGTTGGAATCACTGGAAAGGCCACTGTGGCTCTTTATTAAATGTAATTTATGTAATGAATAACAATATTTGAAATAAATGAATACATTTAAAATGTAAAAAATGACTTGCAGGTTAGAACACTCTGATGAACTTCCTGCTTGCTAGCTCTAGACAGCAGATGTCTTATGTTCATTTCTGGGAGTCAAGATATTTGACATGCTTTGGCTCCTGCATTTCAAAATGACCAGATAAACATGTTTTCTTTTATGAACTATTCAGTCACACGACTCATTGACGCAAAGTCACATGGCTTTTTTTGATACACAGAAATGTATCCCACCACCCAGAATACCATAGCAATTACATAGTAACTTATTGGCAACTTTCAAAAACCCTAGTATCAAGGCTGAGCTTAGCACGGTCAAGCACCACTCACATTTTTGCAGTTCCACTTTGTGCCACAAGAGGCATACAAATTGTACACTTCACCTTTACATCACAAAATAATGAAGGTATATATTCAAATAACCACCCCATGTCCCTGTTTTTCTGCTACAGGAGAGCTGCAGTGTCTCAGTCCATAATATAGTTTCAGAAATGGATTCAATACGGCACAGTGTAACCCCTCCCCCCCCTGCTACCAGCCAACCTGTTTCCAGTAGCAGCAGTGAGGAAGAGGAGTTCACACAAGCCACATCAGAGGAAGCTGAAAAAGAGAATGTGGAGCATGGGAAGGACCAGCAAAGCAACTGGCCAAAGGGCACCGTGCGGCGAGCCACCAGGGAGCTTGAGCAGAAGATCAAGCAGGAGGTCTCATCAGTGGCACTGGTGTCCTCGGCCCCCGTGTGTCCCTCGCGACGCTCCCCCGTCAACACCAGCAGCAGAGAGAAATCTGAGGAGACCTCATCTCACACACACCTCACACCTGATCCAAGCACTGTGTCAACACGCCATCACCAGCCTCAGAACAACATGGACAAGGTGGAGAAAGACGAGAGTCTTTCAGCTGATGAGGACAGAATGGGAAGAGAGTGCGAGAGACAACTCAGGGAGGGAGAGCGCATGAACACCGGCCTCACGCACTCAAGACAAAGCCATTCCATTTCGTCTAGCTCGTCTCTGGCCATGGTTCTACAGCTGGAGGGAATCACCGAGCAGGAGAGTTACACAGACTCTGATTGTCCACTGGGACGCTGTCCAAAAGACATGAGGGAAACCTGGGAGACCCTGAAAAAGCTTGGGGCGTTCCTCTGGCAGGTGAGTGGCTGCTCGGACAGGCGGCTCAGCCAACCGTGGTCCAGGAGGGAGCAAAGAAAGGGCCGGGCTGCGCGAGAGAGGACCAAAGAGGTGGAGGTTCGGATCCGGCAGGCTGGCCTGACCCCACCCTCAATGATGAAGCGCTCAGCCTCGTTGGCCAAACTGGGGTCTTTGGAGCTCTCGCCTGTTGACCTGAGCGAGCTTGACTTAAGTCCTGCCTTACTCTCTGCTCCCACCAATAAGCCACGTCCCCACTTTTGTAGTGATGATACCTCAAAAAAGAAACGCGTTTTGCCCCATTGCACTCCTGCTGTCCCTTACTCTTCTGCCTATCCTATTTCTTCCACTGGATCTCATATGCTTGGACATGCAGAGAATGATGATAAGACTGAAGAGGCAGAATATAGTGACTATGATGTCATGCCCATGCCACTGCCACTCTCCCCACCCTCCAATCAGTGTTGGAGGCGGGATAATGCACAGGAGGAGGCATGTTACGCCCAGTTACCTGCTTCTGCCTTGATAACCGTGGCAACACGCCAACAATATGGGAGGACGCATCCCCTGCAGAGGCTGAAGAAACAGACCATAAACCCTTACCACACTATGTGACTTTTATTCTGTGTGTGAGTGTACGTGTGTTTGTGCCTGCCATGGTGAGTTTGTGATTAAAGAGATAGCACACCCAAAAATGACAATTCTGTCATTTACTCACCCTCATGGCTATCCAGACCTGTATGACTTTTTCTTCTGTGGAACACAAAAGAAGATATTTTGAAAAATGTATTATTTATGTTTTTTTGTTTTTTTTTTACAATTAAAGTCAGTGGGGTCCAAAATAACAGATTATGGACCCCATTGACTTTCATTGTATGGACAATAACATTCTACAAAATGTCATACAGATTTGAGTTGACATGAGAGTGGGTAAATGATGACAGAATTATTTTTGGGTGAAACTATCTGTTTAAATTGCCACGCATACCTCAGTGGGCCTTATCCAACTGGAAATCAAACAATGTGGATATTTTAGAGCACAATGTGATTTGAATGTTTTTGGTGGTATTGATGGCCTATAGAATAGGAACCATGTAATCCCGACCCATCATTTGAGTAGAAAAAAATTGCTTGAGGAACAATGAAATGTTATGACTGATATACTTTTTGCACAGTGTCTACCAGGTCATTCTTTGCGTACTATGGTAATACATTACCATTTCATCCTTTACATTGTCAGTCTATGAACGAAAACCACAATGTTCTCTGCTGAAATGGATTCTGGAGGTGTGTGTGTGAGAGAGAGAGAGGAAAGAAAGAAAAGAAAGAGTGTGTTTGTTAAGGGTTGTAGGAGAGCCATCGATGAGTATTTTTAAATGCATTCAGAAATGAGTGACGTAATTGTGTGTGTAAAATTATTACAGATGTGAGATTATTGTGTTTGTGCATGTTGGTTTAATGAGAATGGGTTCTGTGGTACTTGTAAAATGTAGAGTTTATGGGCCTCAGTGTGTGTATGTATATTTTGTGGATGTGTATGATATGTATACTTTTAACATGAGTGTGTGTGTGTACTTTCTGTCTATTTTCAACTTCGGTGCAGTTTCTTCCTTCAGCATTTTCTGTTTTGTTAAAGACGCAACAAAAAAAGACATGGGGGATTTTAATATGCACTTTTTATTATTGTTTTAAATTTTTTTTAAACTGTGGTTTGTATTCTGGAAGCATGTTTGCAAGAGTATGTATTTAGAGTTGCTTGTAAGGGTGTTTGTTGTACAGTGCAAAAAAGAAAGAAATCTGAAATATGTCTTTCTGTTTGTCGTAAGACTGGACAAATATTTTCTCTTTTTTATTGTGCTTAAACTGTGACAATTAAATAAAATTTCAAATGGACAAAAATACCTTTGGGTGGTATTTTTGACCAGGTTCCCACAGTCATAAAAAACTTTTAGAGAAAAAAAAAAATATATATATATATCTCACACACGTTATATATATTTCTAGATATTCTCATCTCTAAAATCTAAAATATTTAGTCAGGTAGAACTCTTACACTTGTTAGTCCACTCTCTATTGGTCCAGTCTGTAGGAGATGGAACCCTGTATTACTCTGAAAGTATTACTTGTTCTTACTGTTCAGGACACAGTTAATGTTTAACTGATGCTTGCTACACTTTAAAAGCTGAACATCTCTGCACATCTGATCAGTCATAATAGACCAAATATAATCAGGATTCCGACAGCCATTTCGAAAATAGACACACCCCCCCCCCCCCCCCCCCACCCCCCCCAG